CTGCCACAGAGCACGTTGTGTAGACAGCTTAAATACACTGAGTAAAACGCCTTTAATGCTGAGAGCTAAAGAGGCCATTGAGCTGGATCATTGAGGGCTCCCTTTATTCCACAGCGCTGACCTATTTAGAACCATGACTCAGCCAGCCTCCCTTGTGAGTTTCCTTCCCTTTGCAGAAAGAAAGAAGGGAAAAAAGAAAGAAAAGAAGGAAGGAAGAAACTAGAGCAAAAAAACAAAAGAGAAAGTTGGATACGGAGTGCTATCAAGAGTCTTTTTTTTTTTTTCTAAATACAGTAGAACCTCCATAGTGGACCACCTCCCTACATTCACCACCTCCTTATGCTGACCTAATTTTCATAGTTTCCTAGACATGCACCATATGTTCCTACCAGCACAGTAGGCCTAGTTCCTTGTGTTGATCGCCTCTGTATGTTGACCAGTTCATTACTGTCCCTTGGGTGGTCAACTTACAGAGGTGCTATTGTATTTAACTCCCACGTGTTCAGAAATCTCTACAAGTTACATAGTACAGTAGGGGGCTCATTGTATCTCTACTTCTCAATGTGGTAAGATTATGCAGGTGAGCTCTTTCCCCATGTTTTATAAAGTTTTATCACAAACAAATTTAGTTTAAAATCTCCTTTCTAGCCCTCCCTTCTTCATTCAACTCAGTCTCTGTTCCTTTCGATATAGAGTTTCCTTCTCTTCCACCCCTCCTTTGCTCAGTGTGCCAGCTCTCTCCACCTGGCTCCCAGGGCCTCCCCTCCCACCTTTGAGGCATCCCCAACCTCCTGCCTGGTTCTTTTCCCTAAAACACAGCTCAGGGATGTCACCGCTGCTGGAACACTTCACGGCTCCTGCTTGCTGTTCTGAGCAAGTTCAACTCCTTATTGAGACTTTGAGTGTACTCTACCCACCAAACTCAATGTATGTTTTCAGTTTTTTCCTTACTGTTTCCTTGTCTTTGACTAATTTCTTTTGGTCACACCAGTCTACTCCTAGCTAGCCATCCTATTCTGTCCCCATTCACCCCCCCTTCCATGCACCTCTTCCTCTCTCTTTCTGGTTAGTCCCTGCCTTGTCTTTCTGATTCCAAGCAAGTGCTTACCTTCCTCTCTCCAACACTATTGCAGTCTGAAAGACTCTTTCCTTCTCTGGAGTTCCTTAAGCCCAAGGAGAAAGTCACGCGGGAAAACACCCCTGCAATTCTCAGGGTGCCCAGGCATTAAAGAAGAGAAGGTGTGCGCCTATTCCTGGCAGAGCAACAACATGGTGATAAACGCAACTTAAATGCAAACTTGTTGCTTGGCAAATCCTACAGTAACTACGTGAGAAGGGAGAAGTCAGATGGCGACCTGGAATAGCCCTTCCATCCAGGGCAAGCATTGGTCACAGTTTCAGGTTTTCCCCATAACCATTAATAAAACAGATACCCACTAATTGTTGGGGCCTTTTCCCTTAACATTTTTCCCCAGCTAGTGTATATTCTGCATGATGGAAAGACTAGAGGGCTTCTGAGATTTATTTTTGTTATTTTATTTTATTTTTATTTTTTTATTTATTTATTTATTTTTTTTTTTTGAGACAGAGCCTCAAGCTGTCCCCCTGGGTAGAGTGCCGTGGCATTACAGCTCACAGCAACCTCCAACTCCTGGGCTCAAGCGAGTCTCCTGCCTCCGCCTCCCAAGTAGCTGGGACCACAGGCGCCCGCCACAACGCCCGGCTATTTTTTGGTTGCAGCCGTCATTGTTGTTTTGGCGGGTCCGGGCTGGGGATTCGAACCTGCCACCTTAGGTGTACGTGGCTGGCGCCTTAGCCGGTTGAGCTATAGGCGCTGAGCCTATTTTTATTTTTTGATGCAGAGCCTCACTCAGTCACTCTGGGGTTGAGTGTCATGGGACATAGCTCACAGCAACCTCAAACTCTTAGGCTCAAGTGCTCGTCTTGCCTAAGCCTCCTGGGACTAAACGTGCCTGCCATGATGCCCAGCTAATTTTTCTATTTTTAGTAGAGATGGGGGGTCTCACTCTTGCTCAGGCTGGTCTCGAACTCCTGAGTTCAAGGGACCCTCCTGCCTCAGCTTTCCAGAGTGCTGGGATTACAGGCATGAGCCACTGTGCCCCGCCACTCAGGCTGGTCTTGAACTCCTGAGCTCAAGCAATCCACCCACCTTGGCCTCTCAGAGTACTAGGATTACAGGTGTGAGCTATTTCACTGAACCTGCTGGTTGGCTTTCTAGATGTCCTACCTGAACTTCCAAGATCTCTACTTTCCCTGGGGGGGGGGGTGTCTTTGTTGTAATTATAGGAGGGGACAGTGAGGCACAGAGCTATCACCCCTTTTGTTCACCCCACCCCCAGTGAGAAGCCATCCTTTCCTCAACCTCCTCTCTAGCTCTCAAAGAAGGAATATCCAGTGTTAATCTAGAGAGAAATTGCTCTAAAATAAAATGAGGCCAGGCATGTTCGCTCACACCTATAATCCTGCCACTTATGGGACGTTGAGGCGACAGAATTGTTTGAGGCCAGGAGTTCAAGACCAGCCTGGGTAACACAGTGAGATGCTGCCTCCACTAAAAATAGAAAGATTAGGCTCAGTGGATAGGGTGCCAGTCACATACACTGGGGATGGCAGGATCAAAACCAGCTGGGCCTACTAAACAACAACAGTTACAACAAAAAAATAGCTGGGTGTTGTGGTGGGCACCTGTAGTCCCACCTTCTTGGGAGGCTGAGGCAAGAGAATCGCTTAAGCCCCAGAGTTTGAGGTTGCTGCAAGCTGTGACGCCATGGCACTCTACCCAGGGCAACAACAGCTTGAAACTCTGTCTCAAAAAAAAAAAAAAGGAAGATGATTTTATTAAGAAGAAGACAAGAACCACAATACTATGTGCAATTTTTTTTTTTTTTAGATAGAGTCTTATTATGTCACTCTCAGTATAGTGCCATGGCGTCACAGCTCACAGCAACCTCAAACCCTTGGACTTAAGCAATTCTCTTGCCTAAGCTTCCCAAGTGGCTGGGACTAAAGGCAACAGCCACAATGTTTGGCTATTTTTTTTGTTGTACTTGCCATTGTTGTTTGGCAGGCCTGGGCTGGGTTTGAACCCACCAGCCCAGGTGTATGTGGCTGTCGCCCTAGCCACTGAGCTATAGGCGCTGAGCCTCTATGTGCAATTTTTTTCTTGGCATTTAGTTGGGAATCTTAGGGTTTTGCATACACTGTAGCAAAAGCACAGGGTAAGATATTTCTTTTACCAGGTAATGCCTTACAACAAAGTGCTGTGATGACTTATCTTTAAAAGACCACTCCAGGGTTGTTAAAAGTTATGAATTTCTGGCTTGGCGCCTGTGGCTCAAGTGGCTAAGGCGCCAGCCACATACACCTAAGGTGGCAGGTTCGAATTCAGCCCAGCCTGCCAAACAACAGTGATGGCTGCAACTGGAAAAAAAAAAATAGCCGGGTGTTGTGGTGGGCACCTGTGGTCCCAGCTACTTGGGAGGCGGAAGCAGGAGACTTGCTTGAGCCCAGGAGTTGGAGGTTGCTGTGAGCTATGCCACGGCACTCTACCCAGGGGGACAGCTTGAGGCTCCTGTCTAAAAAAAAAAAAAAAAAAAAAAAAAAGTTATGAGTTTCTTGAAATTGCTTTGACTATTTGAGCTTTCTGGGATGTTATTTTGGGCACTGATGTAGTAACATCAAATGATGGCTTAATGAGACATTAACATCAACAGGTAAACTCTAATTTTTATGGAACATAATTTACTCCCAGAAAGCAATTAACACATGAATCCTACTATCCTGTCTTCAGAGTAAAGGGAAGTAATCTGCTTTGTAGTCAGAGTTCCTAATGTTATGACACATTAATAAAAAGGAGCTGATTCCTTTCCCCTACCCAGGCATTGCATAACAATAACAACTATGAGCATGAGAAGTTAAGCTTTTGTAATAGACTGATCCGTTTTACTTAGAAAGCTGAAGCTGTTGGGGGATAACAAATACAAGATAGGTCAGCTGGGTTGAACCAAAACAAAGTCTGGGCTGCTTTTATTCACAGCAAACTTGCATTTCAGATCACATTCCACACAGATCACCTGTTTTAGGAAACCATCTTTCCTTCCAATTCATGCACTTATGTCAGAATCCCAAATCCCAATTTTTTTAAGCCCAAGTCTTGTTCTGTTGCCTGGCCCAGCTCACAGCAACCTCCAACTCCTGGGTTCAAGTGATCCTCCTGCCCCAGACTCCCTAGTAGCTAAGACTATAGGCATCTGCTACAACTGCTGGATGATTTTTCCTGCTTTTAGTATAGATGGGGTCTCTTGCTCTTACTTGGGCTGGTCTTGAACTCCAGAGCTTGGGGATCTTTCTGCCTCGGCCTCCAACAGTGCTAGGATGACACACCTGAGCCACCTCGCCCAGCCCTAAACAGTTTTTTCTCTTAATTATTAAGCATTGGCCTACTGAAACTGCAGGTTAAAATTGGAGGTATTCTTCCTATAATCTTATACTTTAAATTCTTTTTAATAAGGAAAAAGGAAGAAAGGCAAAAGGCGGAAAAACATGCTTTTCAAGAAGCCCTATTTTTTTTCCTCCCTCAATTTTGTGCATTTCAACAGAATGTACAAAAATCTTTAAATGTTATACCAAAGTGCCTAGGTGCTGAGGCGTAGACAAGAGAAGAAAAACAGACAAAGAAAGGAAAAGAGTTCCTTTTCAGAAGGTGCCTGAAAGGGTGAGTTAGAAAAGGATCAGAAGGAGGAGGGCCAAGGGGTTTTGTTGTCAGAAATCAGCTTGGAAGAGAGAGATTTGCTCTGCACCCTGTGTTGGAAGCATTCTAAAGAGTGTTTCAGAAAGGAGACATCATTAAAAGAATTCACACAGCTATGTGCGTGAATTAGCAAACCCGGGTGAGCGTCTGAAATGTCTTGGGAGTGCTGACCTGAAATGAAGGTCACCCCCACACATCAATGCAGGAAGGAGCAGTTACATTAACAAACCTTTCCAGCCAGCTTTGAAAGATCATCTCCTCCGATTATCTGCATCTCCTCCATGGATCGGTCATTCTACAAAAAAACAAAACAAAACAAAACAAAACAGTATTTTACTGCACAAGAATGTTTTTAAAGCACAATTCCCCATCCACCCTGTTAGTGGCTGGGTTGCGCCTTACAAATATAGCACAAATAGCTGGTGCAGATTCATGGTTGCCCATGGTTACCAAGAGCCACTCTCCTATGACTGTGCTGGAGACAAAGCCTTCTAATGGCTGGCCCAGAGAGACAGAGTGTGCAGGGGGGATGGAAGGCTGGAGAGGGGACAAACAAACCTAATTTTGAAAATGCTGAGGCAGATGCCTGAACTTACCTTGATGCAGACAGAATCGGAGAGGACAGTCACAGTCCTGCACTTTGCTAGGGTGGAAGGGAAACAGGGATCGCAGGGAGTCCCAGGAGTGGGCCAGCCAGCTACCAGCTTTGCCACCCAGGCCTCGCGACAGGCCTGCAGTGAAGAACAGCCAGATTTTGGTCCCCTGAGAGGCTGGAGGCCTCCTCTCCTCCTTACCATTGGAGGTCCACCCCAGCATCAGATGTCAAGGGCAATTCTAGCAGGCCATAGACCTCTATCTAACACCTAGATCTTCTGACATAAATGACAAAGCTCTGGGCAACTTTTGCAGTTCCAGGAACATGAGACTCACAATAATGCTTAGCAGGCTTTTCATTAAAAATAATAATAATAATATTTTTGAGGCTCTGTTGCCCTGGGTAAAGTGCTGTGACATCATCATAGCTCACAGCAACCTCAGACTTTGAGCTTGAGCTTGAGTCTCTTGCCTCAGCTTCTCAGGCAACTGGAACTGCAGGCATGCACCACTACGCCCAGCTAGCTTTTCTATTTTTAGTAGAGATGGGGTCTCACTTTGCTCAGGCTGGTCTTGAATTCTTGGGCTCAAGGGATCCTCCTGATTTGGCCTCCCAAAGTGCTCAGATTACAGATGCACCTGGCTAGACTATAGTTATTTGGTCGTAAGATTGATCACTTGGGAAGGGAAAAAACAGCCACACCACCGATATGACAGTTTTGTCAATGAAACACTTTTTGTCTTCTTACTTTTCTGGTCAAAAGGGGAGAAAAAAAGGACCTTGAAATGTTTTTACTTCCACTTGGTACAGAATTTTCTCCTTACTGTAGAAGGAATACATCAAGGCAAAGAGAGACGTCATAGGAGCCCCTCTTGGAAGTTTCCCACTAAATTAGATGAAGCCAGTTATTTTCTTCTTATGGGATCTGACCTCCAAGGGAGAAAAATCAAAGGATATGCAGAATTCGCTGATGTTTTTTGCTGTTTTTATACAGCACACATAATCATACATTCATGAGCCATCAGGACAGTCATTAAGAACTTGTCAGAAATGTCAGCGAATAACATTTACTTGTCACTTCTGGTGGTGCTCAGACAGAGGAGCTCACATGGGAAGAATTTCTGCATATTAGACTCAAGTATGTTGTTTTGAGCAGCAGGAAAAATAAAAATTTCTGTACCCCCAGGGGACTAGATTGTGCAGAATTGGATACAACTACTAAACCACAAAGTTTAATGTAACCAATGAGATGTGTTCTCTGCAAGGTCAGAGTAAATTTCACAATAATTCTACTATTATCATTTCTATTATATTGATTAAAAAACAAAAAATACAAAACATTGGATAGCTAAATAACGTGCTCAAAGTCACACAGTTACTATGTTGCCAAGCAAGTATTATTGAAGACTGCTTTACTTAGTCCAAGTCTATAAACATGTACTTTGGTTTTATTTTTAATTAATTAATTTTTTTGAGACAGGAGCCTCAAGCTGTCCCCCTGGGTAGAGTGCTGTAGCATCACAGCTCACAGCAACCTCCAACTCCTGGGCTCCAGCGAGTCTCCTGCCCCAGCTTCCCGAGTAGCTGGGACCACAGGCGCCCGCCACAACACTGGGCTATTTTTTGGTTGCAGCCGTCATTGTTGTTTGGCAGGCCAGGGCTGGATTCGAACCCACCACCTTGGGGTGTATGTGGCTGGTGCCTTAGCCACTTGAGCCACAGGCGCTGAGCCATATTTTATTTTTAAGTGACAAATAATTGTACACATCTATGGATCAGGTGTGATAGGTATGTGTGTACATTGTGGAATGACTGAATCAGGCTAATGACCCTATCTGTCACCTTGGATATTTGTCATTTCTTTGTGATTAGAACATTTAAAATCCCCTATTTTAGCTACGTTGAAATATATAATGCACTTTTTTTTTTTTTGAGACAGAGTCTTACTTTGTTACCCTCGGCAGAGTGCTGTGGCGTCACAGCCCAGCTCACAGCAACCTCAAACTCCTGGGCTTGAGCAATTCTCTTGCCTCAGTCTCCTGAGTAGCTGGGACTACAGGTGTCCACCATATAATGATGGGCTATTTTTTTGGTTGCAGTTGTCATTGTTCTTAAGCTGGCCCGGACCAGGCTTGAACCTGCCAGCCTCTGTGTATGTGGTTGACGCCCTACTCACTGAGCTCTGAGCTCTGAGCCTGCACTTTTTTTTTTTGAGACCAAGTCTCACTTTGTCACCTTCAGTAGGGTGCTGTAGTGTCATAGCTCACAGCAACCTCAAACTCTTGGGCTCAAGCAATTCTCTTGCCTCAGCCTCCCAAGTAGCTGGGACAACAGGCGTGTGCCACCATGTCAGGCTAGTTTTTCTATTTTTAGTAGAAGGTGATCCATCCACTTTGGCCTCCCAGAGTGCTAGGATTACAGGTGTGAGCTACCTTGCCCAGCCTCAGGATTAAATATTTTAATATGCATTAAATACTTGGAGAAATGCCCAGCATGTTATAATAAATAGTACAGAAAGTATGCCCTAACTCTTACCATCCACCATTAGCCTTAAGAAATACGCATGTTTGGTTGAGTTTGCTAACACCAGCTTTGTGATTCATTGATTGTTCAGGTCATAGCATATAAGCCATGTGCTCTGTGGTTAGCCTTTATTGAGGCTGCCTGCCCCCCTATGGGGCACATGGTTAAGAAGGACTAATGTCCTTCCTGTGCCACTCTGTACCGTGGCACTCATCTGTGTGTCCTTTGGGGTTTCTCAGTGACCCGCAGTTCCTATGTGACAGTGCCTGATGCTTTAATGTGGGCCATATGGTGGATATAATTTCCATTATCGTACTTGGCTGTTTTCATCCTTTGTCTCGATAGGCAGAAGCCACCAGGAGATCATGCTCTGACCCACTTTTGTACTTACTGGCTCTCCTTGGACCCATGTTGGCAATTCTACAGAGCCACATGTAGTCAGTAGGGCATGGAGTTAATCTAGAAACTCCTTTACAAAGTGGAGATAGGAGACCTGTGGTTTTTCCAGGCCCAGCTGCATTTTTACTTTTAGATCAGGAGATCCATACTCCGACTCCTTTCTATAAATCCAACATTTTATTTATGGGAATTTATCTATTTTTTTTTGGTGATGGGGGTCTCACTGTGTTGCCCAGGCTAGAATGCAGTGGCTCACTGTTGCCTTAAACTCCTATATTCAAACAGTCTTCCTAATTCAGCCTCCTAAGTAGTTGGGACAGGTGTAAGCTACCATACCAGCTAATTTTTTTGTAGAGATAGGGTCTTGCTATGCTGCCCAGGCTGGTCTCAAATTCTCAGCCTCCAGCAATCCTCCTGCCTCAGCCTTTCAAAATGCTGTGATTAGAGGTGATTCAACATCTTGGTAGTTTATGGGAATCTAAAATAGATTTATACTACTTGTAAATAAAAGCACTTCAACTAAGATACTTTCATTCACAGGAAAAAGTCTGTATGTATGAATTTTGATAAGTAGCACTAGCTACAAATTCCTTGTGATCCATCTCAGCACTGCTGATAAATCCCCGTGCTGCCAGAGGCCCCAGGAGCGCTGGGTATATAACATGTTGCTTGGTCCTGTGGGTCTTAGCTCAGGGTTGCTCACACCCCATCTCTCCATCTTTCTTCAACACTCAGTTGGGGTGTCATCTCTTCTAGGAAGCTTTCCTGGAATCAATCTGCATGGGTGTCCCAATAACAACCCATGTATATCTGGATGTCAACAAACCATGTCCAAATGAAATTTTCTGTGAATGTAGCAACTGCCAATGGAATAAAAATTCTTCCAGAACAGCAGCTGATTTTCATGCTAATTGTACGCCCAGTGGCTGGCAAATGGAGGCATTCAGTGTTGAGTCAGACTGAAGCCTCTGAGCACGCATGTGGGCCATACAGGGTGGACATAAAAGTTCGTGTGCAATTTACTGTGCTAAATGATTTTAAGTTGCACACAAACTTTATGTCTACTCTGTATTTTTAAGACTTCTTCCTCTCCCTCTTTAGATACCAAACGCTGGCAAGAGGCACTTCTTCTGTTATGAAGAGTGAGTGAGTGACTCCCACCAAAACAATATTTCTTTATTCTTACTACCATTATTTTATTAGCCGAGTCCCCTAATAGCCTCTTCAATTTTTTTTTTTTTTCCTTTTTTAGAGACAGAGTTTCACTGTGTTGCCCAGACTGGTCTTGAACTCCTGGGTTCAAGCAGTCCTCCCATTTTAGCTTCCCAAGTAGCTGGGACTACAAGCACATGCCATAGCATCTGGCATCCTCAATATTTAAAAAAACTTAAATGCAAAAAAAAAAAAAGAAAGAAAAAAAGGAAAAAACAATTTAAATGCAAAAAGCAGTGTAAATTCTGATCATTAAAAATATGAAAATATGAATGTTGACATTTATTTATTTATTTATTTATTTTGGGGGACAGAGTCTCACTATGTTGCCTGGTAGAGTGCTATGGCAGCACAGCTCACAGCAACCTCAAACTCTTGGGCTTAAGCGATTCTCTTGCTTCAGCCTCCCAAGTAGTTGGGACTACAGGTGCCCGCCATAATGACCGGCTCTTTTTTTGGTTGTAGTTGTCATTGTTGTTTGGCTGGCCTGGGCTGGGTTAGAACCTGTCAGCTCTGGTGTATGTAGCTGGTGCCCTAGCTGCTCCGGAGCCAATGTTGACATTTTA